CTCGGTGCTTACGCTGTCGGCTCCCATAAATGAACACTAGGTCATCTTGACTGCAGGTATCCTCCTGCTGTTGTTGATCACACAATTGTGCAGAAATAAGTAGCGATTTCTTGTTTAAGCTGCGATTCAAATTTTGCGATACAGTTGATGTGTTGGGTTAATGAACCCATTCGTTCATGATACAGTGCGAGGTCGTGTAGAATAGCCTCTGTTCTATAGACTGATTCCGCGAAGGCCGCCCCATTCGGCAGGAATGAACTCGGGGGTGTTGTTCTTCTTCGTCTGTCAAACTGGTAATAAAGCATTCGTACGTGGACCATCGTTCACTTGGAACTGAAAGTCACATCACCCGGGCATGAATTTCACCACTGTTAAAAACAGTGCGTCTTCTAACGACATTGGACATTGACTGGTGGACTCTGATCGACCAAATGTTAACATCGTTCTGATACTATCTTTCAAAGTGCTAGCACACAAAGATCAGTGGTTTTGAGGAAGACAGCGCATAAAACCCTGTGATAAACTAACAACCTTACGGTCAATAACAGAAACGTGTAGCAGGTATCAAAAGCAGACCATTCTCAAGCACGATGACAAGTCCGAGCCCTTGTCAAATGAAGCAGACATGTTTCACAAAGATTTGAAGCGAAATCAGAAAAGCATACCACTTTAGACACTTTCTTTTCAGACGCTATATTAGACGATTGATTGTGCGAACGAATATGTTGAAATTATTATCACAAAGAAACATCTGGTTGGGTTCAGGCAAAACACATGCGATTCACTCTGGTATCACCGAAAACGATTTCGTCCAGCCTATGCCGCTTCGTCATCGAGGTTATGTTGCCGCATAAACGAACACGAGGCTCTGCTTAAGTTTTGAGACTGTTAATCTGCTTACATCGACTTTACCTTGTTTCAACCGACTTCTCTATAGAATGCCATGATAAAACTGTTACGTATAGAACAGAAAATAAGACAAACACATTAACATCGATGAAGTTCATGTGAGTATCGCCGTATTGAAACGAACTGTATCAGAGAAAAATAATAAGGGGAAGCGCTATTCTTACATTCAGGTCCACACACGACAATATATAGAAATCCATCAGGATGAAATCTATAAACAAAGATGGTAGAACAATCGTGAACTGGAAAAGAAATCGAATCGAATCAAAGTAGTTTGGTGCCTATTGATCGCGAGAAAAAGTCGGTGCATTCGCGGTTGTCCAAGGAAAGTAGGATTGAGAGAAGCTCATTCCACAGCCGCAACCGATTCGCATTGTCCACTTTTAATTGAGATGCCACGGAACGCGAATGTGCTCCGGCATTCAAGGAGTCCACATCGTCCGGATCGTATTCGACGTGCACACCGCTAAGTATGCCCATACCCTTTCCCAAACGGGAGAGAATTATTGCCGGGTCTGTCAAATTACCACTGTAAATCGTATATGGGGAAAGAAGGCTGTTCGTATATTAGACCACTTATATAGGAAGTACATACGAAATGGGTGAAAAGATAACAATTTTTATTATCAGATTGGATTTGTGGGGGGTTATTTGGTGTGTTTGTCCGCGCACTATGGACAGAAACTCACTTTCCTCTCATATCAATTGTCTGAAAAAATGTACTGATTTGAACTCTTGTGGACGACGTCAGAGGTTTTCGTCTCTGACGTACGACGGTAAAACCGTGTCGGTTAGATTAACATTTCATACTGGATTAATTGGTTGGAGAGTGTCCGTTTCATTGTGGGACTGAAACTAGAAAGAGAGGTAGATCAGACTACATGCCCCTACGCACTCCCTCTGGTAAGTCACAAATAAACCGTTTGGTAAAATAGTTGTGTGCGGTAATACAGTTTAGAAGGATGTAAATGCAAAAAAGCTCAAGATACACCCTACAGGTAAGTACTTATTATGCTAGATTTATATATACACATATATATTAACTCACTAGTTATAAAGAACTGTCGAGTTCTTCCACTCCGCTGAGCGGAAAGTGCACCCACCGTTGAAGTAGGCAAGCGCGGCTGGAACACTTGCATTTGTACTCCCAATATCGGCTCGAACG